GGACCTCGACTCCGTCTCGGTCCATAAACACGCAAAAAAAGAACTTGGCCAATATCCAGCCATCTTGACCTCACGCTTGGTCAATAACCCATATATAAATTGGCCTATCCCGATATATTAAAATTCTAGCTTGGCTCAACAACATTGAGGTTAAGGGATGAACAATTAATTTCTTTTGTTTTATTCCCCTAGGCCTCGGACTAAAGCCGTTAGAATTTTAATATATCGAAATTGGCATATTGGCCAGTTTAAATTTCGGAAAAATACTTCTTCGCTACTTCTTGAACTGTTCTAAACCACCGCAGTATTACTACTCCTCCTGGCTGGGATGTTCGTCCCGGTTCTACCACTCCCCCTCCCCCAGTCCGGACTAACAGTTCGCTGGTGCCAGTTCAAAATCCTTGGTGAGGGGAAGCACCGTAAGAGTAACATACACAACACAATAACCCTGGACAACGCGCTTGAACCCAGACCTCTAGATCCGGAGCGCGGGCCAAGACGTCTTCCATTGGAAACCAAACTGTGCCGCAAACTTTTAACATCCAATACAAAACTGCAGTAGAAGTTATTTGTTCAGCTGAAGGGTATGGTTTCAAGGATACAGTTTCCTAAGATAACGAGAAGTACAAAATACAAGCTTGCTAAGATTCCTCCTGGGTTGTGTGGTCCGCCAAGTGCCATCACGCCACTGTACATGACAGAATTCCAGTCTTCCCCTGTAAGTATCTTTTGTGGACAAAACAAACAAAGCTAGAAGTTAGATAAGGAACCAAGATTTTCTGTGAATATAAAATCGCTCTTGAAATTTTCTTGCAAGGTTTGGCAGAGAAATGTGTGGAAAAATTCATAACAAACGAACGAACAAACAAATTAATAAATTAACTAGTTAATTAGTTAATTAATAATCAATACTGGTACTAAATTAACTAATACCAACCTGAAAGACAGCTAACATGGCGTTTTGGAAATTATCAAAGTTGGTTTGTGGTTGTTTGGTAAACCTGAGTGAAATTAAATGAACTTGATTACTTATAAGTCCTGTAACTTAATTTGAACTGAAAAAATACGTTATTTAGCAACTGGGAATCACACTATCACGCTCGGCTGTCCACAAAGTTATACTTTAACGTGGCTGAACACAGTTTTTGATACCCATGTGTCATTGACCTTTTTCTCTAAAACTGTTGATCCCTCGGTCGTCAAAAATGGCAGCAAGCAAGTTAACACAAACCTTGCTTTGTTGATGGTTAAGCTGACGTATGTGCCGTTTCCATGGCAACATGAGTAAATATATATATTTTATAATTTAAGTTCTCATATGATAAATATTCAGTGGACAAAGTTTGAACAAAAATCTATTGACAGTTTTATTTCAGGGGAATTACCTTAAGCAGTCAGTGTCTTTGAAATTTGTAACGATATTAAAGAGCGAGTGGGGCCTGGAATTAACAACCTTGGCCATAGAGGTTAGAAAATTCGTTCTATACACATTATGCCCCTCCCCACCCCTGTGCAATGTTGACAAAGTACTTACACCTAACACAAGTTGCATTTTACCATTTCATTGAAAGGGGGGATGGGGTACTGACAATTATTCTGTAGGTACTACGGTTATGATTTCATGTTTTTGCGTTTTCCCAACACAATTTTTCCATGACTGTAGGCTAAAAATTGGAGAATACTGCACGCAAAGAAATGCCAATCACGGCTAATGTGAGGAGATACAGACAAGAGGAGAAATGAAAAAGAGTCATAACAAATAAACTTACTTGCCACCAAAGATCTGCATGCCAAGGAGAGCAGCAATCAGGATAAACAAGAATAACAGGAAAATCAGGCTCACGATCGACTTGATGCTACTCACGAGAGAAGTAGCGAGGTTCCTTAGCGACCGCCAGTGTCTGTAACAAGATAACAAGTGATCAGAAAGGAAACTTCAAAGCTTGTCGCAAACAAATGTATGGAAGAATTTATCTCTGACTGTCACCAACGAAGGAAATTAATCAGAACCGTAACAAGTGTTACATGTAAGTGACAAGTCACGCAAGTGATCCGCCGGCCCGCCATAACCTTACCTCGTGACTTTGAAGACTCTAAGAAGACGAAGACATCTGAGTACACTAATGCCAAGTTTAATACCTTCAACTGTATCAAGTATAAGGTCCAAAAATCCAGAACATACAACCTGTTGAGAGCAACCAGTAAAGGAAGGCGTTGTTATTTGTTTAACTGACTTTTAGCTAATTCTAAAGAAGCATGCGCGAAATAACATCACTTACAGCGCAATCAAAACAATTAAAACTTGAACTGAAGTACACATGAAATCCAAGACCATAGATTTTAAGAACCATCTCCACGAAGAAGAACGTTAAAAACACAATTTCCGCGTATTCTGAAAGAAAAAGAAAAGCAAGCGTCTTGATTCAATGATCATCAACTTGCTAGCCCAAGATAGAAAATGTTGCACAAAATCAAAGAGCCGGTTATTTGTGGGTCATGGTCTTGCCCTTTGGTCTTCCTGGGGAGGGGGGTGGGATCTAATTTTAGCCCAGCGGGCGTTCTTATTTTTTTCGAAGGGGGTAGGGAGTGGACCTAAACAGTTCAGTTTCTCATAGCCCCTGTAAGACTGTGTCTAATCAAATAAGCTCTCCAACTTACTCTGAAACTCAGTAAGCCACTTGGGTTGATTGTAATACTCCACAGCCAGCACAATGGTGTTCAAGAACACACAAACCAGTACCGTCCAATAAAATGCTTGTGTCTTGACCATGCGACCCACCTTTATCGAAAATCTATGCTGCCACTGTATAAACCGCTGGAGCACGCCGACTCTAAAATGAAAAACAGGCACACATAATATAGTGTGAGCAAAAAGATGAGTTGGAGGTCAATAATGGCTGAAAGTGTAATGTATATTCCTAATTATTCATTTGACCAATCGCAACGGGCGCAAATAACGCATTAACCGAGTCTGAACTAGGAATAAAAGCTTGAAACTGTTTCCTAGAGCGGAAAAACGTGTGTAATGCCAAGATTGTTACTAATCTTACTGGCTGAAGCCTGTTGTCTGATTTGTGGTTGATTTTTCGTTGAAACAGACTGAGTAATGCTTCTGGCACTGGGATTTTGGAATCGTTTGAGCTACAAAGCCTACAATTGGCTAACGATTTTCAAGACAACCATCCTCTAATCCAGGCATTCAAGCGCAGAAAGCTAGGCCCAGGTTCCTCGAAGTTTCTTGAGTTGCGGGACTGAAGTATGCACCAGTGCCACCAACTAGAACCCAGCTTACCTCTCGGGCATATTGACTCGGTAACAGTTTCCCTCTCTTCTCGCAACTACTCTTCCAGGATTACTGACCATGTCATTGGTAACGAGTTGTGATTGTGAGTCGTTCAAGCTGAGATGTTTAGATCTGCTGTAGTTTTCATCCGCTGCCGATTCCGCTGTAACGAAAATACAGACAACTATCTTAAAGAGGACACTTCCGTAAGGACAATACCTCCCTAAGATAGCCTGTTCCAGGCTCTCGGTCAGCGGGGACGATCGAAAAAGCGGGCGGGCGACGAGTGGGATCAGCGACGAGCGGAACCCGCTCGTCGCCCGCCCACTTTTTCGATCGTCCCCACTGTCCGAGAGCCTGGAACAGGCTACCCTAAGATGGCTGGTCCAAGCTGAAGTTACTTGTTTTTCTTCAATTGAATTCTCTTTATAATCGACATTTTTCTAAAGCGGACAGTTCGATCTGGTGTCGTGAGTGTCCGCCTTAAAAAGAGTTAACTATGAACTAGGTAAACAGGAAGCTGCAATTAAGCGCCCGACCAAGTTCTCTCTGTCGGTACTACTCAGAAAGATAGATACATGTACAGTACAAAGTTTAACTCAAAGTACTTTCCTTTCATCTTTTTAAAAGGAGATAAAATGGCCTCGTTGTCATGGGTACAAACTTAAGTTCAAGTTCAAATTTTGTGTTTATCCATGGTTTAAACATTCCAAGTTCGCAGGTCGTCAAGACAAAAAGTGGTGCGTTACATTGCATTTTATCACGATGCCTTATTTAACGTGGCTTGCTTAAGCAAGCAGAGTCTAATGAAAGAGGGTAACAGTAAAAAGCTCGACGAAACTGAAAACAGTTTCCAGTGGTATTCGCGAACAAAGGTATTTAAAACGTGTTGTGCTGCGTCGTAGACAAGTGAAAAAGTTAGCGAATAATTATAAACTTGAAGTTGATTAAGGTAAATTAACCGCTGTAGTAATATGGACGGCTGACGTGTCCAGTGTGCTAGCCATTCGTCAAAGCCATAGGAAAAGACCATTTTACAGTTCTCTGCTCGGTGACCTGGCCTTTGAATGGCAGCGAGACTGGAAGTGACCTTGTTTTCATACAGACCTCACTTCCTTTGTTGTGTAAATCATGTTGTCCTAATGCTAGCTAGTTTACATTTAAAATGAGAAAAGCAGAGAGGTTTAGGTCACCTCTAGCCTCGTTTGCATTCACAGGCCAGGCAACTGAGCACACAACTGTAAAATGGCCTATTGTTGTTAATTTAGCTGAGCCTTACCAGCCTTGGCTATCCACGACATGTAGGCGTCCACCTGACGGTTCAGCTGCTGCTGTCTACGAACTTTAAAGAACTTACGCCGAGTGTCCACACGTTCTCTCTCCTTTGCAAACTCGCTGGTGACAAATAAAACAATGGTCCGATAACTCACTGTCTTTGTACACTCACGAACAGTTTTAATATTGGGCTTGCATGTTCGAACGCTGGTTAACGCTAACACAGGATTAAAAGTTAACCGAAGTATTAGTTTTTCTTTTATGAAAGAATGCTTTTAACAGCTTATGTTTTGTGTAGTTTGAGATTATTCAAACTCAGAACTGAAGGACAAACAATGTAAACAGAAAATCTCACCGCAAAGCAATGAAACTGCAATCAAGATTCTCGCTAATCCTGCGTTAGCCTAATCGGGATTTGAACAACCCGGCCCAGGTTTCTTTCGGCTGATAGCTGGTTAGAGGGAAGTCAATTGAATTCAAGAGCCAGACGTTTAATAGTATTATGTTAGAATTTCTTTTCAAGTCGCACATTAAAATGCTTCGTACATTGAAAAATAATTAATTTCTCACGTGACATCTGTCTGCGTGCGCTAATTGTTCGTAATTGATGTATTAACTGGGCAGCAGTAAAATATGTTAAACACTCACCCACTCAAAACTCCAAGAACAAGGTTAAGGACGAAAAAAGAACCAATTACGATAAGTGAAACATAATAACAGGCATACAGATAGCCATCTTCATCCATTGCATCAAATGTCTGTAGAAAAAAAATAAACATACAAGTTCTCGTTCCTTATTTGTAGGAGTTGGGAGAAGTTGTTAAAATCTCAAGACAATTCCCTTTTCCTGATCGTCTCTATACTTCTCCTGACCTGTATACTGGAATATCTTTCGATATTACAGTGAGAATTTGGACTTTAACCACCTTACAATAGGCCACGTTCGATATATCAATATTCTAACATGGCTCCGAGGCTTTCGGGTCGAAATTGTACATTTTTTTTAAGTTACTTTAGTTCCTCAATTCTCAAAAGAAACTTGGATACAAAGAAAACATCACCAAGTACAGGAGTTTGTCCTGAAAGCCTCGCAACCATGTTATTGACATATCAAACGTGGCCTATTAACTTATCCCATTTTTAAATGAAAATTTTAATAAGGCACAGATGACTTCGTTTTCAGAGAAGTCTGTTTAAAACCCTGAGGAGAAGGAAGTGTAGGACAAAATAACAGCGGATTTGACTCCAATTTCATGCCCGTAGATGTACTGAAATAATTACAGGATAATTCATACTTTCTTTCCACTCTCTGGCTTTGTATCATATCCAGAAGGTTCCACAAAACGAGCAGCGAAGTACTGGAGAAAGTGGGTTGAAATCCAGCAAGGAAAAAGATATTATTTATACCCTGTTTTGGTTCATTAGCGGCGAAGATTAATAAGGTCATTTTCAAGTAAAACTAGTTCAAGCGTACAGACCTTTCATAAGAAAATGAGAATTCATATTTGATAAAAATGCACGTGGATGTTTAGCACTTTTGGATTCCTTTTGAAGATTTTTGAAACGGCATAATTACTGTGTGGCAGATTATTCTACTGAACAAAATATCTGCTTATGAAAATAAATTTTAAAAAATCAAACGAAATTGTGAATTTATTTCCAACATTATCAACTACAATCGAACACATTATAATCGATAATGATCGATTTCTAAACGTAATCGAAATTTTTTTGATTCGTTCGATTATTGGTTCTTGGTTCGATTACGGAGTGATTCAATTTTCATCCTTTAAACGCCAAGAAAATGACAGTTAACAGTCAATCGAATACTTCTCACGTATTATAGGGCTAATAAAGACCCCAATAGTTGTCTATTCACGTTATTGTTGTTGTACCTTGTACATTATCGACGTCCATCCCTCCATTGTAATACACTGGAAGACTGTTAACATTGCAAGCGCAATATTATCAAATGTCGTGATACCATCGTTTGGGCCTATCCAATATTCGGTACAATTATAACCAGACAGACAATCTCGACCACGAAAAATCTTCCTAACTCCAGGAAAGGGCCCTGCGTCACATGGCTTATCATTCGTCTGTCTGGCACCTGCAAGAATCAAATAGATACAAGGTAGGTATAGTCAGTCAATCACAGTGAAAGAAGCGGCGATGTGCATCAAGTATGCAGCTAAGTTGATTCAACGAAATCGCGTTTTGCTGACTTAAATCCCCTGCCTTCTACTTGTTTCTGCAAAATGCTTCTCTCAAAATCGGTTTCTCCAAAACTTCTCATTGTATAGTTAGTGCTTTCAGAGGTAGGTGAAAGGAGTTGGAGAACAAAGGCATCACTTGCATCCTGGTTTTTTTTTCCCGACGAGAGCTGAAGTTTGCAAGAAGTTTAATCTAAAACGCAAGAAGCCTTGACTTTTCTTATAGAGGGCTTCATGCCGATCAGCTCAACATATTAGCTTTTTGAGACCCTCTCCATATCATAAAGTAGCTATTCCATATAGGAAATGGCACAACAGGCACACGTACGCACTGCAGACCTATTGGATGCTTACGCAAAGCTTGTATTAAACACGGGATAGAACAATGTCTAGAGCTTCCTAGCAATAGGTAGGAAAGTTAAAACAAAAACAACTAGGGCTAGGCACAGGTACGCAATGTGAAGGTGAATTAATCAACATGACACGTCATGTCATGTTGATTAATTCACCTTCACATTTCATTTCCGAACTTAAAATTCACCATCTTTATTAACTTATCAGGTACACAATGTGGACCTATTTAGTGAATACAAAGTCATTGCTTTCTAAAGAAACTGTTGAGCTGCGTTAGAGGGCAACTGAAACACTTACCTATTTATCTGACTCGTCCCCAGTCGCCCGTTGAATAGACGCCGGAAACTCGACGGAGTCTGGATGAAATTCCTCGGGAACACAGAGAGGATCATGCTCACGCTTCCCCCCTAAATATTCAACGCGCCTCTCAAGAGACGATTGGGGACGAGTCAAGCTATTGATCACATTGATAAAGGTGGATTGACCCTCGTGGCGAGTTTGTGAAGCTGACATTTTGTGTGTTAGTCCTTCGTCAGAGCAAAGTCAGCATCACAAACTCACTACAGTGGAACCTCGATTTAACGAACCTCTATTTAACGAAGTCCTCGATATAACGAACGATATTCTATGTCCCGGCCAAAGTTACAGTAAAATGTATGGAATAGAACCTCGATGTAACGAACCTCTATATAACGAATTCTTCGATATAACGAACATAATCCGGAAGCCCAAACGCAAAATCTACCTCGATATAACGAATTACAATGTTTCCTTGTTTACATAGACAATTTTCTGCATAACCTCTATGTTGCAACATTTTTAAATCGCTACTCTGAAAGTGTCGTTCGTTTGTAAAAAAAAAAAGCTGCGCGTCTGCTCAAAAGTGAAAATATTTGATACTGAAAGCCACCATGCATGAACCATGCACCATGAATTGCATCTCAAAACGCGGCACTTCTGGGTGACGAAATTTGCATTGAATTACGTGACAGAAGTCACCTGTGTTACAAATCAATCATTAACTGTGACCTCGATATAACGAACATTTTGGTCGTTTCCCCTCAAATTCATTATATCGAGGTTTTCGATATAACGAACCCTCGATTTAACGAACAAATTTGGCCGGTCCCCAGCGACTTCGTTAAATCGAGGTTCCACTGTACAGCGATACTTCAAGTCGATAAATAGCAACTATTTATTTTGATTATATCACGTTTGCATGGAATGCATGATATGATGTGTTTTCAGCTTCACAGAAGCAGAGAACAAAGTCTCGAGTTCATAAAAGCAGATAACAGTGGCTACATCCCATAGAAGTCGAGAACAATATCTCTTGAGTCATAACTCTTAGAAAGACCCAGAAAGATTGATCAAAAAAAATGCACTTACCCGTTTCAATGTCAAAGCAGGTCGTGTGAAATTTATCTTTGAGAAATTCTAAACCTATAATTGCATAAATGAGAATACAAAACAAGACCAGAAGCAAGATTTGGAGAAGAGGCACCATGGCTCGAACTATAGATTTCATCACAACTTGAAGACCTAAAATAGAAAAAGAAAACAAAAAATTAAACAAGAATAAACGGCTTTTTGTCTGGACAGGTACACAAACAAAGGCTGAAAAGTAGAATTTCAAGAGCTCTGCAAAGTTTCTTCAGTTACTAGTGCCCTTACATACAACGTGGTCGTATATCTCGTTTGTAACGTTTGTGTCGATTTATGGACTAGATTTGAAGGTTATCTCATTGGCAGCCATATTTGGGTAATAAGCGACAACCATAACGTGACAATCATAAACTGATTGGCTGCTGTTCAACATGAGTGAGTAGAAAATTAGGGAACCAAACATCACTCGGTTGTTTTGCAACTTTAATATAAAGATATATCATTTTTTGGCTATTTACATGATTGTAATTAACCACCTGGTCTGCCTCCCACCAGTTGGGAGTTTTAAGCCTATTATGTTTATTTGAAATAATTCTTTCTTTCAGTTTAAAGTGGCATTCCTGAGAACTAGCTAGGTGTAGCTAAGCACATCGACCACTATAAACATTCAACACCACCAAAACGAGTAATTTGGCTTCGGCCGGCATTCACCGTCGCGTTAGAGTGACATATGCCACTCAACCCAACTTGTTTCTCCGTGCAAAACTACCCAAACTTGATCATAGAATTATGAGTTCTTTACCGATAGTTTAAAACTTACTTGGAACACCGGAAATGAGTTTAAGAGGTCGTAACACTCGCACTGCTCTTAACGCTTTCACATCCAACCTGAGATTTAGTCTTTTATTGACTTCTGGAATACTTATGATACTACAAGATAAAAAGAGAAGTAATGACAGTAATATAAGGTATCATTTAACAAATGGTAAACGCCATAGCGTGCACTATTGAGTTATGGATGCACTTGGGAGGTTGCTAAGCACGA